CACTTTAATAATAACCTGCACTTCCTCTTTTTCTCTGCTAAGAAAATATAAAAGAACATTTCAAAAATTACAAACATCTTAGGTAATACAATTTAGAGATCAACTAATAGCTTGAACATAGTAGATAAATTCACACATCAGTATTTAAGTCATTGATACATTCATTCAAAACTCAACTTTGTATTGAGTAATTTACAATATTTCAACTTCTTTTGTTATAGTTTACCCTGGAGACATTTGTCCACCTCTGATTCCAGTATAATCTCTCCCATGTATTAAAGATGGCACAGTGAAGGCAGAATCTCTGATAGGTGCTGATTTTAATATGAAATTGTATTCCTTCTTCCCTGGACATGTGCCATGAGAATTCATCTTAACTTAATTTCCCATATTTATGTTAAAATACACTAGTAAGACTTTATGAAATCTTTATTATACGACATTAGTTTGCATATGCTGACAAACATTAAAATAATGTCTGATTCTGACATATGTCACAGGTGTGGTGACAATCTAGAAGTGGTGCATGAACACATAAGAGGAAATGTAAAACTACCTTTGTAGTTGAGGATTTCTATACAATGCAGACCAATCATGAGGCAGTGGGAAATGGACAGTTGGCAGGGTGTTGGTAGCACTCTTGCTCTCTCATTTTTTTTTTAGTAATTAAGAGATTTTATTCTAATAGTTATCATTGCAGTGCTTGTTTGTCAAAATAAAAACTGAAAACTAGTATACAAAGCAGTTGATTACTAATTGTGAACTGAAGGCAGTAAGTAGTTCTACAACACCAAATAAACCAGTTCTGAGCTTTTCCCCAAGATAAATTTAACACCTTTGGCTTCTTCAATGTACAAATAATAATAATAATAAAAGTAGAACACTCAAAGTCATTTGAATCAATAGAAAATTCTCAATCTCCACTTTCCTACATGACACACTAATATTTCAGTAAGATATGTGAACAGGTAGTGAATTAAATCAACTTTATAATTAAGGATGAACATTCCAATTTATTGTGTCTCTCTGTAGTTATGAAAGAGTTGAAACTTTGTTACATTTTCTTTCTATAAGCTCTTCAAAGCATTTGGAATTAACAAGGCAGATTCATAAACCTTCTAGTCATTTTTCAAGATATTCAAACTTGTTTTTCATTGGTATTTAATTCTAGATATACTCTTATTTAGTATTGTATTAACATAGATCTCCAGTATTTCATTATCTACTGGGATCATTGCTGAGTTCCAAACAGTCTAGGTTAGTTAATTGGTCCTTGCTTTCTCATTTTCTCTCTCCCTCCCTCCCTCTCTCTCTCTCTGGTTAAATTTAAATAAATAAATAAACAAATAGTTGAATGAAATAATTCTTTTTTTTTCTTTTTTTTTTTGAGAAGTTTTCGCTATAGGGTGCGTGCACTCACCAGACAGACAGAGAGAGACAGAGAGACAGAAAGCGAGAAAGCAATCTCCCCCTGGGGTGGATGGTCACACTGCAATCCCTTCTCCTCCATTCTCCTCTCAGGATCTTGGGTATGCACGCACACGCACCCGGCGTGAGTTTTAAGCCACCGGGTCCGGGACACGAACCACAGTCAACTACATGAGAGTCCAGCGACATAGCCATTATGCTAACTACTGGTTCCCAAATGAAATAATTCTTCAAAAGAGAGAGAGAGAGAGAGAGTCAGGTATTCCCACTATTTTTCTCACTATGACCACCCTAGTGTCAGCCAGCCTAGATCATGGGGAAGGATGCACACACCCACCATGTTCAGGGAGGTCCTGGGATGCAAACCCAGGGCCATTCCCAAGAGGTTCAATTGAGTTCCTGTTGTATTGCCACCTGGTTCCTGGCTGCCAGTTTTTATTTCCTTTAGACTCCTTGTGCTGAATATACTTTTTTCTACCAAATGACAGTGCAGATAACAGAATTCACTCTAGCTCATTAAAGATAAAACTATTTAGTATAAAGTAATGCATTAATACTTCCCATGAATATCTATGACTCATTATTTAAAGAGAGGAAAAAAAAATGTGCACTTAAAGGGACTGTAATAATCTTAGAGGGAAGGACTAGGGTATTGGTTAAGGCGCTAGGACTTGGTGGCTCGAAACTTATGCCAGGCTCCTCTGCATGTGTGACCAAACTCCCAAGAGGAGAATGGAGCTGAATATACTGCAGCAATGCCATCCCCCTCTGGGAGATGATTTATCACTTTTGAAATTATTATCTATAATCCCACCGGGTGGCGATGGTATTTTCCTACTAATCCAAATGGCTAGCATACACTTACAACTTAATTGATTAAAAAAAATATTTTTAGAAAAATGTCTGAATTTTCATGATCATGTAAAAATTAGGAAAACTTTTATCTAAAAGATTCTTATTCAGTTACAAAAAACTATTATATTTCACCTATAGATGTTGAGTTAAAAAAAGATAGTGTGTGCATAATTACTTGTTTTATTATTTACAAAGATGCAGTTGGCATGGTGATTAAAGGCATTGAACTCCCACATGGCTGACCATGGTTCAAGTCCTAGACCTGGTGGCTTGCTTTCTCACTTTCCCTTTCTTTCTCTCTCTCTCTTTCACTCTCTGATCAAAGTGGAAAATAACAAAAACAAATTAAGTTAAAATAAAAATAATTCTTAAAAAAAGAATATTGAATATGCATGACTTGTTATGATTTTTTTCTGTTTTGTTGTTGTTCATGCATGGAATCAATTCAGAATGTACCTCAGTAGTTACTGAATGTAAAAAGAGAAATACTTGAAACAGTTTGACATCTCCCAAAATTGTGAGATGCAGTTGTGGTATAACTTCTTTCAGATAGACCTGAGAGAATTATAGATATGGAGTGGCACACAGGTCAAACTGAATAGGTCAATTCATGATTTCTAATTCAGGTTCCAACCAGAAAGAGTTACTAGCAAGTTTTGTCACTGTTTAGAGACTGCATAAACTTATTCCCAGTAATACCTTTTGAATAGCAAATAATGTGATTCATTATATCTTTCAAGATAACCAAGGAAGATAAACAGCATAAAAACTAGGATGACAGCAAAAGCAAGCAAGATTTATCAAATGCCTGTGGTTATAGGACTAAAATGAATCCACACAGTGATTATTGTGAAGTTCATCACAACTGTGCCAGGAGGAAAGCCAGAAAAACTAACATTCCATGTTTGTCAATAATAACACCTTCTGGCCTATCATCTGTTAAGATAAAAATTGTTGTATTTAAAATTAAATTTCAATTATTATATATTTTTCTTGCCACTAGAATTTTATATAATTTAGAATCATCCTTTTTTTAATCACAATATCCCCAATACCTGTCATGAGATAATTAAAAATTATTTGAATTAATCATACAATATGTAGGAAAATCCTTTAAAAGTCCATGAATTTCTATTAATAAATTATTATGATTGAAAGTCAGTGTACTGGGACCAGCAGTTGGTGTAATGGCTATGACGTGGGACCCCCATGTAGTTGACCATGGTTTAAATCTTAGACCTGGTGACTTAAACTCATGCCAGGCGTATGTGGGTACATGCCCAAGATCCCGAGAGGAGAATGGAGGAGAAGGGATTGCGGCATGGCCATCCCCCCTGGGGGGTTATTTCTCGCTTTCTGTCTCTATGTCTCTCTCTGTCTGTCTGGCGAGCGCACATGCCCCATAGCAAAAACCTCTCCAAAATAAAAGAAAAAAGAAAGTCAGTGAATGAGTCTGGATTTCTTTTTATCAAAAAGGACTAGACTTAACTCCCACATCTGAAAGCTATGATCTCTACAATATTGAATTTCCAATCCTAATTTTATTTTGTTCATTTGCTTATAAATTAGAAATAATATGGGCAAGCAGATGACATACTGGGCAAGGCAATGGACTCACACACATGGTCAATCACGTTCAGGTCAAGGATCCAACGATTTAAAACATACCAGGCGCTTCTGCACACTTACCCAAAATTCTGAGAGGAGAATGGAGGAGAAGGGATGGTCATCCACCCTGGAGAGTGATTTCTCACTTTTTTGTCTCTCTGTCTCTCCTGCAAGTGCATGTACCCTATAGCAAAAATCTCTAAAAAAAAAATTGGAAATAATAATACTTCCCAAGATGGCTAGTAAAGTAAATACTGCATGTGGCTGACTAATACAAAATAAAATATGTATAATTTTATAACAGCAAATGTTATTTTCTCTTCCCTGCTTCCGAAAACCCTAAATTCATTTCTAGTTTCTTAGATTAAAACTCAGTTTTCCATAAAATTGAACTCCTACTAGATTAGTATAATACATTCTTTTTGACACACTTTATATTTTCTGTTCTCTATACTCCTTTTTAAAAATTTTGAGATGGTTGACCTAACAAAAAATATTGGTGACTAAAAGAGAATAATAACTGTACATACTTTGTAAAGTTGCTGGCAGAATTAAGTAAGCCAATGCATAGAAAACAATTAAATATAAGTACAGCTGGAAAACTTTGTTTCAACTTCTCTTACCCTCCTCTTACTACTTATCCTTATTAGTTTCATAACTGTTTTAATAGTATGAATAACTTAAATATACATGACTTTCTAATATGCTCACCTACTTCAGCAGATATTTACATTCCATTTCCAAGCATCAAGTTTTCTAACATTCATTTCATTCCCTGAAACACTCCTAAGTTCACATATGTACTGACAATTTCTTCATCGAGCTAAGTGACCTATGTCTTCTCTAAAGCAAACCACTTCTGTTCAATATCGTAACTATTAACCTGGATTTTTTTATTTCACCCAAATAAATTTGAATAGAATGTTGGACTTTCAGAAAATTATGCAGTAATATTCAACTTTGTCAATGTATTGAGTGTCATGTGGGAAAATATTAATATGGAATTGAAGAAAGTGTATACAACAATAATGAATTAAAGAGAGCTTTGAAAGGTGTGAATAATAGGAAGCATTGACAAGAATTTTATTCTTTTAACATTACTAATATGTTCATTTACCAGAGAAAAACATAACCTTCTGAATGGTGTCCTTAAAGGCTTGCTTCACTTGCTGGTTCCTCAGGGTGTATATAAATGGATTCATCATAGGAGCAACAGAAGTATTGAGAATAGCTACTCCTTTGGTCAGTGATGCTTTTTCTTTTGCAGAGGGATTGGCATACATGAATATGCAGCTTCCATACGAGATAGAAATGACAATCATGTGAGAGGAACATGTAGAAAATGCCTTTTTTCTCTGACTGGCAGAAGGGAGTTTCAAAATTGTCCTGATGATGAACATGTAGGATAGAATTATTAATGCCAAAGTAAAAAGCAGAATTACTATTGCAGAATAAAAACCAATCACTTCTAGGAGCCATGTATCTGAACAGGATAATTGCAGTAAAGGGAAATAATCACAAGCAAAGTGATCAATGACATTGGAGCTGCAATAATCTAACTGCAGGAAAAGAATAACAGGTGGAAAGATATTTAAGAATCCTGCCAGCCAAGCACAAAAGACAAGCAATATGCAGACTCTTTTGTTCATGATGGTTGTGTAATGCAGGGGTTTGCAGATAGCCACATAGCGGTCATAAGACATGGCAGTCAGAAGGTAGAATTCAGTGATGCCCATGAAAATAAAGAAAAACAACTGTGCTGTACAATTATTGTATGAAATAGTTTTGTCTCTGGTGATAATGGTGCCCAGAAATCTAGGGATACAGACAGTTGTAAAGGTTATTTCTAATACAGAGAAGTTTCTGAGAAAGAAATACATGGGTGTCTGCAGATGAGAGTCCACCAAGGTAAGAGTGATGATGGTCAGATTCCCAGTGACACTTAATATGTACATGATAATTAAAAAGAGAAAAATCACAATCTGAAGTTCTGGGTCATCTGAGAGCCCCAGAAGAATGAACTCTGTGGGTACTGTGTGGTTTTTCATCATCACTTTTGTTTTTCCACCCTTTGAAACATTAAATGCATGTTCCCCCTACACAGAGAATACAAAAAATATTAAAATAGGGTTGAGGATAGTATATAACATGTTTAAATGTCCATAAAATACATAATTTATGAAATTTTAAAAATACAAATGTTCTCTACCAGCAACCCTCGCTAATTTTAATTTTTTCACTCAAGTGCCAAATATTGTCTGAAGTTAAATATTGCTCTCTCTTCATTGAAATTACACTATTTCAGGCTTACAGATAAAAAATCTTGAGTATAGCATTGAAATAGAAGCTATTTATTTTAAAAAATGCTTATTTCACATTATTATTTCCCAATTTGACCAGAGAGAGAGAAAGAGTGAGAGAGAGAGAGGGAAAGTGAGTAAGCAAGTAGCCAGATCCAGGACTGGAAACAGTCTGCCATGTGGGAGTCCAGTGATTAACTACCATGCCCCTGCCAGCCCTGACGCTATTTCTTATGTTTCTCTAAAATTAGGCTTCTAATTATTCTTTAAGATATTTAGTTCATTTGAAAAACATATAAAAATATTCTAATTAATTATTTTTATTTTTCTCAGTATTATAAAAACCAATCTGGAACATGTTATAAAGGATATAGAAACACAGTAAACAGATGTGAATACCAGATACAGTATGTGTGAAAGAGTAGAGTCTAAAGAAAGACATTTAGAAGAAAAATAGAGAGGCAAAGCATTAATGGGACAAAGAAATGTGGTATTATCTGTTGAAGATAATTTCATAGTTTTATCAACTGGGTTAGGGAAAAATGTTCACATGTTGAAATATTCACTTTGTAAGCTAAATAATGTGATTGTATAAAAGAAAATGAAATTTTTTTTAAAAGGAAAAATAGTTTGAAAGTTGACAGAGGTTATTTAAGCCTACCTTCATATGTTCTACTTGCAGAAGGTCAGTCCCACATATATTAGGAAACTTCCATAAGGTTAAACCGAGTCACCATAGTAACCACCTCACTTTAGAAAATACCAATACATGTTTATCAGTAGGGATGTTGTGTGGCCTTCTCCTAAATTTCTTACTTAAGGGTTCAGTTTATGCTATCATCTCTCTGCCTCAATTTTTTTCCCTTTTTCTAGAAAAAAAGTACAGAAATACCAGAAGGGGAAACTTCTATTGCTAAAATAAATCATTACCTAGAAACATTGGTAATACATAATCCAATTTTTTACTGTTATTATCATAACAAAAGAACATCTAGATGGTCAAATTAACATCTACTGGCAAGTGATTTCTTTTCCCCAAACAAGAAATGTCTTTTGTATATCATATATACTTAGAAAAACAAAGGAACAATATAAGACTTTACTGTGTTCATGCTTTGGGACTCCACTGTCTTATTAATAAACAAATAATTATTCATTATTAAAAGGGTTGTAAATCCATACTGAAAAGTGAGAATAATATTTTAAAACACCTAAATAAAATAATATCATATCATATTAAAGAAAACAAATTCACTTACTTTCTACCACCTGGGTTTCCTAAATATTCATATAATTTTACATGAGCAAATTGATTTAGTAATTTATTTAATATCCTTTGTACTTACTAAACAAGTTTGCTGATTTAACTTTTTCAAGGATCTCAAGAATTATAGTTCTCCTTCTTTCAAGATTAGTAACATGTAATCCATGATGTTATTTATTTTTGATATTATAAAATTGTTGGAACATTTTACTCTATTACCATTAGTTCCTCCTGCTTTTTCTCTCTCACACGAGATTAGTGTGTAAGCACATTATGTCTGGACTGACTAGCAAAATCACCCTTTCTGTTAATGCACATATATTTATTAAGACATTTTGTTTGCACTTATAGAAATATTTTAAATAAATATTTTGAAATCTCATGATGTACATGTATAAAATCTAAGCAATATTTTCCCTTAAGCATCAGAGAATGTTTTCCTACAAGGTAGTAGATAATAAGAAATGCTTCTTCATATGTCACACAAATGAAATTTGACTTATTTTATCTGAGTCTTTATTATTGACTCAGGGGAATTCATTAAGTGAAAAAAAAAAAAGAGTGCCAAGGAGAAACATTATTAAAAGCTACATATGAATCATTGATGTTGGTTTTGTTACAAATACTAATAAGGAAGTATAAAAAACATAATTATAAATATGAATGAGGCAAATATGTAAACAAAATGTGATATTGAAAGTATAAGTATTTGATTTAGAATTTTATTTTTTTTAATGATTGTACAAGAAGCTCCCCCTTTTTTTCAGGAAGGTCAGGACCTATCTTTGAGGAGAGTTAGCATACTTGTATTTCTTGATTTGTGGCAATGCAGGAAAAAGATCACATTTATTAGAAAAACAATGAGATTAGAAAAACTGCTTTAAATGTCTGGTATAACTTGATAGTTTTTCAAAATGAACAATAAAAGAGACCTAAGAAAAGTTGAATCCCTGTACCTGTCCTATAAATTTATGGAACTCTTTCCAATATTCAATGACTAAAATTATAGCAGTATTTCTTAAAAGTTGCACTTATATGATCCAGTGGCATGCTGGTTAAGATTGTGGTTTCTAAATGGTTGATTACATGGTAGTTTGAGTGGCTTGGGAAACAAATCAAGTAGCTGTGCATGCCCCAAATACTGATGGGATTGAGAAATGGAGAAGGGGTTGCATCTGACCACACCCTATTTCTGGGGGTTCTCTCTCTCTCTTACTTTCTCTCTCTCTTACTCTGTATGTGTGTTTGTCTTTCTCCTGTGAGCATGCATGCGTTTCTCCAAATAGATATACATTGACATTTAGTTACTGAGCAACTATAGTGCATATTACGTACTAATCCCCTTGATTTTTAAATCATTCTCTATATGTAAGGCTTCCATTCTAACAATCAGCTATAAGATTGTTCTACCATTAACTGAACTGAGATCTTTTTGTTTGTTTGTTTTTGTAAAGTGAACTTATTATCTCAAAAGGATATCTTTTGACAAGTGACATTGGGTCCCATTTAGAATCCAGGTGTAACCCAAATAGTTAGAAGAATGTTTTGAGCTTTCTTTCTGTTTTGTTTTGTTTAATACCATATTTTTTAAAATGTATTTGAGATTGTATATGCTCATCAGAGAGAGACAGAAAGAGAAAGTGAGAAAGCACCCTCTAAAGGGGATGACCATGTTGCAATCCCTTCTCCTTCATTATTCTTCCCAGATTTGGAGCATACATGTACATGCACCCAGGTGTGTGGGCCACATACAGAATTCACCAGATTGACCAATACCACAACTAGGGACGTTTCAAACCAGAAGTCAGGACGATAAGTTACTGACTTCATCTTATGGGTGGTCTTTTTCTAAGATGTTGGAACAAAACTCTAAATTATAATAAGAATCTTACCCCTCATAATTTTCTATATTTATGATTACCTTTTTTACTGTGCAAGATAATCGTTTAATTAAGATTTTACAGTTAGTGACTTTTGTGGGTAACTTGCAAATTATCAGTCATTGCTTGGATTTATGTGAAATGATATATTTGCTATCTGTGAATTACCAAGAGCTTAAACCTATTCTTTCAATAGATTAAATGAAAAAGAAACCTTATATTTTAATTAGCTTGATTCAAGAGTGCTCTGGCTAAGGGGCATACTGAAAGGCATATTCAGTGGTAACCTTCTGATAATCATAATTGCACTCTTCTCCATGTGCTATAGTCTCTCAAATGTCTTAAATGTCATATACAACCATCTACAAAACTTCAAATGCTCTCTCTCTCTCTCTCTCTTGGTTGAATCAGCAAAAATTCTGAAAAATGTATGATAATAAGTAAAATGCTGTAATCCACAAGTAACACATTAGGACCAGAAACCTAGAAGAATGATAACAGAGTGGCATTAATGCCTTAGTTTTTGTTACATTCTCACTTTAGATGAGAGCCTGATCACAAGGACAAACTAGTTAAATGAAACATTAGAAGGCAATTGTTTTGGACTAAGTTCCTACTGTAGACCCCAACAAATGTGTCCAATATAGAGTCATTCTTGCCAAAATATCGTGTCATCAAACTAAAACTTTAAGAAAGCTGATGGAGTTCCAAAAACAGGAGAAAATCTCCTGAAAACAGGAGATTTAAGTATATCTAAGTCAGTGCTTTAAGGAAATAAAAACTATGCACAGTTGGTGGCTTTTCTAGGAATGAGCACTTGAAATAATTAAGACACTCCCTAAACTCATAACACAATCCCTTCTCCTCCAGTTTCCTCTTGGGATTTTGGACATGCATGTACATGTACGTGGCATGAGTTTCAAGCTGCTGGGTCCAGGACTCAGACAGCAGTGGACTACAAAGGAGTCCAGCAATGTAAACATTATGCCGTCTGCTGGTCCTGTATCTGACATTTCTTTTCTTTTTTTTTTCTTTTTTTTTGGAGAGGTTTTTGCTATAGGGTACTTGCATTAGTCAGAAAGACAGAGAGAGACAGAGAAACAGAAAGCAAGAAATTACCCCCCCAACACACAGGAGGGATGGCCATGCCACAATCCCTTCTCTTCCCTTCTCTCAGGATCTTGGGCACGCATGTACATGTGCCTGGTATGAATTTAAGCCACTGGGTCTGGGACTTGAACAACGGTCAACTACATGGGAGTCTAGCCACATAGCCATTACGACATGTGCTGGTCCCCCACGTCTGACATTTCTAAGTAGTGACTATTATTGGTAGTATGTCTACTTACTGAGTGTTGGCAATATTGTATTTCTTTCTTTATGTTATCTCCATTATGCCTGTTATGCTGGTATAAGAAATAAAAATAATTATGATTATTTTTCTGTTTGGTGTGATTTTGTAAGTTCTTAATGATATAAACATGCCTATTATTTTGTTTTCAATATATGTATTTGTATAATCTATTCCTCATAGAACACATATTTTTTTCCTTAATAGATATGCATGAGGCCAAGATCAAATCTTTCCCACTACTAAATCATCTCTTTAGTAGACACATATATGAATAAATAAATGAATGAGTAAAAGAATGCTATATATGAAAGGTATTTGAAACTACTTAGATCATAGGCACATGTTAGCTTTTAAGGTATTGGAAAGATTCCCTAAAAATCAAATTCCTCAGAAAAATGTCACTATCATAATTTTTTTTTGTATGTGAATGCTTCTGTTTCCCAGTATTAGCAATGAAGAATTGAGATGGAAATACTAAAAATTCTTTGATAGATGTTAAATATCTACATAGCAAATATTTTCATTACTTTGCAAATATTTAAAATCATTTTATAAATTTCACTTGTAGATTTCAGTAGTCTAGACATTTATAAAGTGATGAGACCAACAGATGGTGCAACGATTTCATTGCTGGACTCCCATATAGTTGACCTTGGTTTGGGGCCCAGACCCGGAAGGCTAATACACACGCACATGTGCAAACCCAAAATACTTAGAGGAGAATGGTGGAGAAGGGATTGTGGTGTGGCCATTATTGCCAGGGGGTTATTTCTCACTTTCTGTCTCTGTCTCTCTTTGTCTCTCTGACAAGTGCACACAACCTATAGCAAAAATCTCTCAAGAAAAAAAGAAAAAGAAAGAAAGGAATTTATAAAGTTCTTTGAACTTAAAATTTTTGAATTAACATCATTTGGGAGAACATACACGGACAATGAATGTTTGAAGCTGCAATTCTCACACAGTGTAGACATCATTTAGTGACTGATATATCTAGTCAAAATATTTGCTATTGAATTGATGTTCATATAGTTAAATTTATTGCAATAAATCCTAAATTTACTTTAGTATTTTCAATGCAGATAAAAGTAAAATTAGCAAGCATGAAATTTCACAAAATAAAAGTTTTTACATTTAAGATACATTGTGATAGACTCTGTTACCTCTAGGGACTTAATGTAATCAATAACCGAACCAAACATGTAGGCTCTGAAAATGTATTATCAGTATTTACTTGCAAATATTGCATAAATTATATCGGTTTAAAACTGTACTTAATTGTCACAGGAAAACATACGTGCCTTTAAGGACTTTTAAAACAGAATCAAAATATTTTTGCTATATCATACAATAGAGTTTGTCTTAAATAAACATATATTAATAGAAAATGTTGTAGGAAAAATAAATTTTACTGTATTTTTAAATGAGTTAGTAAATAATTTATTTGAAAACTTTGGTATAGAAGCTTGATAAATAACCTGGAAAAATGTCAAATTAAGTGTATGGTAAATTTTTAAAACTACACAAAAGCAGGCATACTAACAAAGATATATAAATATTTCAAGATTTTACTGAATTTGGTTTCTATATTATGCTTTATTATTAACAACAACAAAAAAAGTTTACTTGTTTGCAGAAAGCACTACTCTGTGGACCACGTCTTTGAAGGCTTGTTTCACTTGCTGATTCCTCAGAGTATAGATGAAGGGGTTCAGCATGGGGGCAACAGAGGTGTTAAGTATAGCTACTCCTTTGGTCAAGGATGCCTTCTCTTTAGCAGAGGGATTAGCATACATGAATATGCAGCTTCCATAAGAAATGGAAATAACAATCATGTGAGAGGAACAGGTGGAGAAAGCCTTTTTTCTCTGACTGGCAGATGGAATTCTCAAAATAGTCTTGATAATGTACAGGTAAGATAAAATCACCAATGCCAAAGTGAATAGCAAGGTAACCAAAGCAAAGTAAAAACCAATCACTTCGAGGAGCCGTGTATCTGAGCAAGATAGTTGTAACAGGGGAAAATAGTCACATGCAAAGTGATCGATGACATTGGAAGCACAGTAATCCAGCTGGAGGAGAAGCATCAGGGGTGGGAAAATGGTCAGAAACCCACCCAGCCAGGCACACAGCACAAGCAGGGTGCAGAGTTTCCTGCTCATGATGGTCGTGTAATGAAGGGGCTTGCAGATGGCAACATAGCGGTCATAGGACATGGCAGTCAGAATGTAAAACTCGGTCACCCCCATGAAGATAAAGAAAAAGAGTTGGGCTGCACAGTTGTTATAGGAAATGGTCTTATCCCTGGTGATGATAGCAGCCAGAAACCTGGGGATACATACAGTTGTAAATGAGATTTCCAAGAAGGAGAAGTTCCGGAGGAAGAAATACATAGGTGTCTGTAAATGGGCATCCACCAGGGTTAACGTGATGATAGCCAGGTTTCCAGTGATACTTAGTATATATGTGATGAATAGAAAGAGGAAAATCACAACCTGAAGGTCGGGATCATCAGAAAGGCCTAACAGGACAAACTCTGTGATCACTGTGTGGTTCATCTCTCTGTCACTTTCTCTTCTTTAAACGATATTTAGTTGGAAAGTGAGTTAAAGGGAGAAAATAATAGATATAATTTGTCATGATCAATGTCATCATCATTGGTACAATTTTCAAAGATCAATCGTCTACAACAATTTTGACTATCATCTTTTATTACATTTTAATACATATTTGTGAATCCAGTTTACTAGTTCTTTTATTTTTGGTGTGTCAGAAATCAGGATCTTCAAATAAAAGTTACATCATTGAAAAATGGTTAGTAAAATCAGTGATTCTTGCCCATGCCCAACTTATGCAAGTATCATCACCATTTTTGCTGAAATAATCACTTGAAACATGCATTTTTCTTTCTTTTTTCATCATGTGCTTATTAGGAGACTATCACCTAAAACAAAAAAATGGAAGATTTTAATCCAAGGTAAGAATGAAAACTAGAAGATTAAAATAACAAGCCATGAACTCTTTTAATGATACAAGAAAGTAATTAGTAATTTTCTCAGCTATAAGATATAGTTTAATTTTGGGAACCAGCAGGTGGCATGGTGGTTAAGGTGCTGGACACTCCCACATGGCTGACCATGGTTCAAGTCCTGGACCTGGTGGCTTATTAATTATTCATTTTATTTTAATATTAATATTTTGGTCTAACTATAAAAATAAGATAAAATTATATATATTATATATATATATATATATAGAGAGAGAGAGAGAGAGAGAATATATTTCCTATATGATAAACAACATATTATATTTTACCTACCAAATAAGGAACATTTTCAGTTTCTTACTTATTAGTTTATCTTATAATTCCACCAGCATCTTTAACATTTTGTGCTTTCTATGACTCCCTAAATATTTTTTTATGTAGACGTCTTTATTTTTTAGTGTAAGGAGACATATGCTTTTTATCTGTGTTTTATTTTATACTGAAGCACAAATTGGAAAATAACTTCTTACCTTAGATCTTGGCAGGTATGTCTCTCAGATTATAGCACAAAGCATTTTTCCGTTTGAGCATCTTCCCTCTTGACTTATTAAGCTTTATGAAGAAAAGTCTCATTTCCTTACAAATTTTTTGCCCCACATTTATCTTTTACATCAGAATCCTCGGCAATAAGGTCATAGAGAAATGTAGAGAAAAACCTCTCCATTCATCTTAACCTGCTCATTTAATATCCAGTTGTTCAAACACTGTGCTGGATATACTACTCTATAGAGTTGGTCTTCAAAAAATGGTTCAGCTTCTATATTTTAAATGGTCTAATTTCTGCTGTGAAGAATAGCTCATAAAATTATTGCATGTCTTCCAAAACTAGCAAAATTATCTATTGATGACAATATGTATGATAATATTTAATTGGAGCATTATATAGTGTATTCATGCTGGGAAAATTCCATTTTACAAGCTGTAATGATGAATAGTGATTGAATGTCTAAAAAATTTTTTTAAATCCACACCAGTGAAATATGACCTATATTTTTTCTCTATTTTATGATGGCAGAAGGAAAATATTTCAGAAAATAAAAAATGAAATGTAAGAAACTTTCTGGAGAAGTGGCAATATACTGTATTCTGCTTTAGTAATGTTCATTTAGGAGTTCAAGAAAGTAATATTTAAAGAGAGAACAGAAAAATATGACAATGTTGGATATTATGAGTATAGATGTTTAAATACAGTCTGGCTTCCCTCTGGTTGTAATTATACCTCAAATATCTGAAATCTGTGTGTCTTGATGTCAAAAGATTTAATCTCCAAGGAACAAAGCAAAGTCCAGACCACATCTCTGCTATATTACATACCATGGGATTTCTAGAAACTATCTTTGGATTTCTCAGTAGCCTGCAACTCTTCTCCATGGTGGATCTCCCTTGGGAATGCTTACATTCATTGTTCTTCCTTTCATGTCACAGAGGACCTAAAATACTTATATGAAGTATGTACTTCCATTAATCAAATTACTTAATACTTCATGCTTACTTAATATTTTATGAGTAATAAAAAATTATGAAATCTACTTTCTTAAAATCAGAAGTCTTCATCTGATTTGATATATAATCATCTTTTTTAAACATGAAGTTTTCTACTCATGCCTTTTTGTTTATCCTTAGGCTTTGTTAGGTTTTGAGAGATAAGAAGCAAAATGTTATTCCATAATTCTAATTTAAATAATTACATATATATATATACATATTGTTCATACAACTTTTAAAATATTCATTTTTTTTTTTTTTTTTTTTTTACCAGAGAGAGAGAGAGAGGGAAAGCAAACCACCAGGTCAAGGACTCAAAACCACAGTCGGCCCTACGGGAGTCCAGAGCCTTAAGCACCACATCACCAACTGGCCCTGGGAACACAATTTTTAAAAACCATTATTATGTATGTTAATTAAATTAACCCCATTACAAATAGGTAAGATTTAATTATAGTATCATATTTGTACATTTTATTGTTCATCTTGGCCTTTATGTATATTTATCTTTTTCAAAATCATTTAAATAAGTACCAGGTCAGCCCTGTAGTGTAGTGGTTAAGGGAGCTAGATCCCACAGGACTGACTAGTTCAAATCCTGGCTGCAGCAGCTTGAAACATGTGATGGGTGCCAAACGCTATCATGCCCCAAATCCTGACAGTATAGAGAAATGGAGGAAAAACAATTGAAGCATGACTGTACTTCACTGTGGCGGTGTTTCTCGCCGCCCCTCCTCCTCTTTCTCTTTCTTGATGTGCACATGTCCTTTCACAAAGAAGAAAGGAAAAGCACCACAAAATGTTACATTTTAATTTATGTACATTTCTGATTACTGAATTATATTTTCTTAATGTCATTCTTCATGTTTCTTTAATACTTTGACAATAAAAACATACCTAATTAGAAAATATTAAGCTATATTGGGGCCAGTAGGTAGCCTCGTGGTCAAGACACTGGATTCCTTCATGGCCTACTGTGGTTGAAGTCCTGGATCTGGTGGCCTGCTTTCTCATTTCATTTTCTCTCTCTTTATCTCACTCTGTCTTTCTCTGGTGAGTGCATGTGTCCTGAGCAAATTAAAAAATAATAATAATATGATAAATAAAATTACATAATTATTTAAAATAATTCTGTCTAAAAATTTAAAAAATAAGCTATATATTTGATGTATAATTGTGTATACTAAAAGTACACAATACATAATAAGAATTATCCAACATAATGGAGATATTATAACATTATAACATAATAATATAAGCATTTTAATAAACAACTAAATATGCATTAATGTGTAAATATAAAATCATGAATTTATGTAAACAAATATTTTATTTTATTTTTTGCAGCTTTTGAATTATGTTTTATAAATGAAAATTATATATATTTAAGGTGTACAATGTGATGTTTTGATGCACGTATACCTTGTGTATTGAAGTCATATCATTTAGTCATCAGGGACCAGCAGTTAGCGTAATGGCTATGTCTCTGGACTCCCATGTAATCAACTGCGGTTCAAGTCCCGGACTCTGTGGCTTAAACTCACTCTGGGCGCTTGTGCGTGCGTGCTCAAGCTCCCAAGAGGAGAATGGAGGAGAAGGGATTGTGGCGTGGTCATCCCCCTTTGGGGGTGATTTCTCACTTTCTGTCTCTCTGTCTCTCTCTTTCTTTCTGGTGAGTGCACGTGCCCTATAGCAAAAACCTCTCAAAAAAAAAAAAAAAATTAGTCATCAAATGAAACTACATCACAATTGGCATGGGAGGTGATTTGGAAATTACTTTATTACAATAAGGAAGCATTTAGTAAAGAAACATTTTGGCAGATATGACTACATTATAGGGAGAAATGCTCTATTTCACTTAACTCTTATTGATCAACTTTGCAGGAATACTACAAATGATGTTCTACTTTTACCATAAGAGTGTAATCAATAAGCAGCAAAATTCAATTATTATTCAGGAAGACCAAGAGCAGTAGTGCCTAACTTTATTCCATTCTCATCTTATTGATTTCCTGTAGATTCTATTTAGATTTAAAGGCTTAACTTAAATTCAGATTTTCTGTTGATTTGTTTACAAGACTGATTCCAGAAAGGGAGTTTTATGCTTCCAACACAGATGCATGTTTAGTTGACTTCAAAAAAAAAATTAAAAAAAGTTTTGTAGCCATTAGTGATCAACAGCTGGACTCACTAGTTCAATATGTGCCACACAATGGTGATATCCTAAGTTGATCAGTTACCATTTGTTCGCTCATCATTAGAGCTCATACAAGAAGCCCAGATGAAGCTTGCTTTGTTTCCTATTCAGTATTCATTATTCAAATCCCGGTTCTAGTTGGTTGAAAAACATGCTGTGTACATGTCTGTACATGTGTGCCCACATTCTTAACATGACGGGAAAACGGAGAAGTGAGGTGCAGTGACCACGCCCTATTGAGGACTTTCTTTTTTCTCACTCCACACATCTGTCTCTTTCTGTCAAACTGCACCACCCCTTTGGCAATTGAAAAAGAAAAAAAAAAATCACTCATCTAATTAATTACTGTTGAGAGTTGACTCACATGCTGCCATCAGGTGTAGTGCTCTATTTTATGTTGTATTCTAGCCTGGATATTACCTAGGTTATTATTTTTGCTTCATATAATATATTTTCCTACTGTATTGACTTTACAAAATGTACTCATATACTTGGACTGAATTACCTCTATTGAGTAAATTTTAAGTGAAGATTATGTAAAGGAAACTGTATTTTATGTTTATATATATTTATTCATATATATATACATATACACATATATATAAATAACCTTATAAAACATATTTTAAAAATAATTTGCTTAAATTTTTTGTATGATTTATATTTTTTTATTTTTTTTATTTTTTGGAGAGATTTTCACTATAGGGCGTGTGGGCTCGCCAGACAGACAGAGAGAGACATAGAGACAGAAAGCGAGAAATCACCTCCCAGTGGGGATGGTCACGCCACAATC